ACCCCCACCCTGGAGTGCTCCTGCGCAAGCCTGTGGCTAACCCCACGCCTCCCCTTTGTCGTTTCAGCTCAGCCAGCAGATCTCCTGAAGGTTCTAGATTTTCACAACTTGCCCGACGGAATAATGAAAACAACAGGGTTTTGCACGACGCGGCGATCTTCCAAAGGCCCGGATGTTGCGTACAGAGTCACGAAAGATGCCCAGCTCAGCGCGCCCACCAAGCAGCTGTACCCTGGTAAGAGACCTGCGGTGTGTGCCAGGTGGTGGGTACATCTCCCCCTCCAGCCTCCGGCCGGGAGCTGTCCCCGAAGCCTGGGTGCGGGAGAACTCGCTCGGTTCTCCAGGAGACCCCTGTAATGAGCCCGGTTTGACCTCATGGAGAAAACCCAGCCTGCAGCCATCACCATCTACCACCAAAGGCGGCTCGTGGGGCCTCGCCGCCCTGCCATCCCTCCAAGCAGGCGTATCCCCAGTGCAGACAGGCTGCCAGGAGCCCAAACGCATAAAGGGGATGAATGGTTCTGGGGGACAAGGTTAAGGGAATTCCCGGGGTCATGGGAAAGGAAACGCTTCCAGACAGAAGCTTAATTGGGGGCAGTGACACTGAGAGACACATGAATCACACATCACATGTCTCAGCAAGAGAGCGTGGGCTTTTAATGAGAATCAATTGCCGAGCGCCCGAGCTCTGCTTCTAATTACCTACTCAGAGCGGGAGCGACGTTAGCTGCTGAGATGTGGCATCCAAGTTGTCCCTGTCACCCAGCCGTGGAGCGGTATGTGACACCCCTTCCCTACCACCCCAGAGTCAATTAAATGATCTGGGCTTATCTGGACTAGGGTAAATAGGCCAGTGATTGATAACCACTCCCCCAGCCTTAAATGAGCTCGTCTTTCTGATTCATATCAGAAAGGGACCAGGGGACCTTGGGCAGATAAAGCTGTGGTAGGAAGTGCTCTGTGATTATCAGAAGGCTGTGCACCATCTTCTCTGTGACTTGAATGTGACCCGGACACTGAACCCAGAGTCAGGCTCTCTTTTGACGAGTAAGGATTCTCTGTTCACCCCATGTCCCCATTGGGTCCCTGAAGGACACACTCTTTTGGGGGCTGCATTTTTGCCTCCTGGGACCCTTTCTCCCACATCTCTGTGCTTTACCCCAGGCGCTTTCTCTGCCTTTCTTTAAATCCGTCAGGCTTACTCAGCCCTTTTTAAGGGCATCATTTCAGGTTGATGAGGTTGCTCAGAGGCGCTGAGTCCCTTCAAGATCTCTTAAAGAGCCCACCTTTGGGCACCTGAGTCCCCTTGGGTTCAGCTGTCCAGCCTTGAGACTGTCTGACTCATTATTGCAGATAGAGGTCACTGTCAGGGCTCCCGGTTCACTCCCCACGAAGAACTTCGGGGTCTCGTTTTTCATACAACAAGAGAAGCTCTTCTTAACCTCCTGGGGCAAACACACCCTTTAGAACCACCCGCTGAAGGCTCACCTGCGTCTTTGGCCAGAATCGCCTGCCTCCTGCCCCGTGTGCCCAGTTTAGAATTGCTGTCCTGGGGAGACAGGGCACTGACTGCCCAGGACCCTGATGACTGTGCTCAGGAACAGAGGCCCGCTGTGCCGTGCCTGCACGATGTTGTCACGTTGAAAGGCCATCCTGTGGCAATAAGGCATCTTATCTTGGAACGAACCTGTAGTCAGTTTGCTGACAGTCCCTTTAACCTGACCCCTGTCACTCAATTTGGGGTCACAGGCATGACAAACTCACTGGAATTTGTGTCCTTAGATCCCCCTCCCACTTGCATTATATTGTGGCACAAAGTCGCCCTGGACCTCAGAATACAGGCTGACCGGTGGAGCTCTAGCAGGAATCTCCCTGGGACAGCGAGACAGGAATTTTTTAAGCCCACTTTCCCCCTAAGCTCTCAAATCAGCAGCTCGATTAGACTCAGAGTTTACAGGGCTCTCCCAGGGCTTCCCAGTCAGTCAGCTTATGAGGTAGAACGGCCCATAGGGAAGGCTCGCCGCCTCGCAGCCGTGTAGACTGGGGCCCGTTTCGTGACTGTTGACGTGGGAATTTCTGTGGCCCTTGTGCAGGTCCCAAAGTGTTGAGTCAGGGACTCTGTGGAAGGACATCCTTAGGGGTCAGCACAGTGTGACTCTGTGTGCCTGGGACCTGATTAAACCACTCAACTTCTCTGCTCCTTGGGGCCATGGAAGGACATGCCACTTGTCATCTTCGGCGTCTGTCTCCCGGAGAGTAGCTATGGCTGGGTGCATTTGAGACGCCCAAGTCTCTGGGCAGCTGCAGAGAAGGGATGGTGTGGTCAGGTGGCCCCAGCAAGGCCAGGGGCACGGTGACCCCTCCTCTGTTCTCCTGTCGAGGATTGAGTCCGCCCTCTCTCTATTTTGTCCCCCCCCCCGCTAATTCTGGGGCGCCGAGACTCCTTTCCTGTTCAGGATCCGAGGCTGGGGTTGGACGTGACAATGTCCCCCCGCCCCTTCTGCTCTCACCCCAGACTTTCCCTTCACGGTGGGCCTGGGACTCCAGAATCAGCTTCCGTCCAGCAGAATGTAGGACAGTCCAATACTGTTGACTTAGCAGGATTCAGTTTAATAGCACATGCATTTATTACACCCTTACTGTATACCTGAACTGCTCCTGTGCCCTTGGGCCTCAGCCGAAGTGAAGGGGAAATGACATGAGCAAGTGACGGGCCTCTTGCGGAGCCCCCCCACCCCCAACTGTGACTTTTCCCTGAGAAATAGCATCTGCAGCGTTGGACGGTAGCTCCATTCTCCCAGCCGGAGTGGTGATGAAGTATATCAGGATCCAGCTCAGTCACGACTAGAAGGGACCCTCTCCCAAGTGACAATAAACCCACTGCTGTTTTGCCAGGGGAGAGATTAAAGTTAAACATAATGATCCCTTTTAGGTTATCCAAGCTGAGAAAATTTGTTACCAGAGATTTAAAAATTGGGAGGAGCATGTGAATGAGCTGGGTGGGGTGGGGGCTCGCGGTCCTAGCAGTGTAGCAGGCGGGCGAAGCGAGCTCTCTCAGTTCCCTCGGCTTCCATTCTTTACGACAGGACAATGACCGTAGTGGCTTGGCGTGGGCATGGCGGGAGAACAGAATGAGAGTCAGGGAGTCACTGGCTCAGATCATAGTCGTACAGTCCTCCTGGACGTGGACAGCGACCTCCGAGATGCTTCAGGTCAAACACACCCTGGGCCCCTCAGTGCCCTTTCATGTCCAGGGACCAGATGGAGCCCCAAGGTCCTGCTGCTCGCCTGGCAGCTGGAGTCTCCTCTGGGGACCTGCCCAGCAGCTCCCACCCTCTCTGTGGGTGGTGCAGCTAAGGCTGTGACCCCCGATTGCCCCTTGCGCACCACATTTGCAGGGACAGTGTGCAGTGGGCGCTGTGTGGCAATAGTCACCTCAACAAAATTCTTCCCAACCGGAGATAGAGAGGCAGGCTGTTGGTTCTGCACTGAACCACCATCCCCTGCCACCTGGAGCTGTCCCCAGCACTGGGGTAGGGGGCCTTGAGCAGTCTCCTTGGGGGCAGGGCCGGGCCATGGCACTGAGCACAGCCAAAGGACCCCAGCGTCCAGTTCGTTAACATAGGTGCCTAACCTCCAGCTGGGGGGCCCTGGCCTTTCCCTGCTGGCACTTCAGCCAGGGGTTGGGGCCCATGGCATGGATTTTTCAGCCAGGCCTCTTTCTCAGCCTCAAGACCTCACACAGCACTCCGAGCTGGCCTTTAGGGAACACTTGGTTTCACTGTTGGAAGCGACGGTGTCCCCCACCCTCGCCCTCGCCTCTCTCCACCCTGGTCCTATGCAGGGACCACATCAGGTTTTTTCTTCCATCCCCCCTCCCGGATGTCTTAGGACACCCTCAGCTTGGCGCTCCTCCCCAGCGTGGCACCCTGCAGGGCTCTGCTCTACTGACCAGAAGCGGTGGCCAGCTGTCCGGCCATGTGGCAGTCCTGCCAGCAGAGGGCACCCACAGACAGTGTTTTTGCTGGACTGGGGATCTGGGCCATCTGGTTGACCTTGTTACTGTCCTAAAGGAAAGGGTAATGGATCCTTTCCTTCTCCAGGCCCTACGCCAGATCCACAGCCCTCGCCAGCACTATTGGGCACGAGCGGCTGCAGTGCAGACTCTGTACCTTGCCCACTCAGTGTGGCCGTGTGACCCCTTAGTGGCCATCACTCCTGCTGACCGGTGCTGAGAAGCACCTTGGCCCAGGCTGGGCTGAGCATTTCTGGCTGCTGGACCACACAGAGATTAGCCCAGGCACTCCATGCGCTGTTTGCCCCCAGGCTCTTGGCAGACTGCAAATCACACAAGGCGGCAGGAGAATCGATGGGGCGCCTGGGACGAAAGGAACGGTGTGCGTGCATGTGTGTATGTGCATGTGTGTGGATGTGTGCAGAGAGGTCTGGAGCGTGTGGGGCAGGGCCCGCTGCGGTCTGGCTATTAATGACCTCAAATTGTTTCTGGCCTGTGTTGCAAAGAGCATTACCGCCCATCAACACAACAGGGTTCTTCCTTTGTTTCTTTGTGCTTTGTTTCTTTCTAATTTGGATTGAAGTCTTTTGATTTCCTTCTGCTTTTTTCTCTGTTTTGCTTGTCAACCAGGAAATGGCAAAAACTGTAATTTTAGTTGATCCCCTGCCTGTGCCCCTCCCTCCTCCCCCCAGAGGGTGCTGAATAAGACACACTCCGCCAGGCACAGCTTTAGGCACCGCAGAAGGTTCAGAGATGCACCTGAAACAGCCCCGCCCGCAGGAAGCTCATGTTCTAGGAGGTTCTTATTAGGATTTATACACAGAGGTATTAAAATGTAGGGACTGAGAAGACGGCATGGAAGGCTCGCAGGTGGAAGGACCAATTCGCTTTGCATTTGGACTGAGCCTTGAAGGGGCCAGGCTTTGCCATGTGGGGATAGATAGGGCTGCAGGAACAGTTGGATCAAGGGGCAGATGTGCAGCCGATGGCTGTGCACCATCATATGCAGCAAGGTTGCCAGGTCCCTGAGCTGGTTTGTTTGTGGTGGCTGGGCACGGTTGGCGGCTTCCCGACTGCCTTCATATCTCTGTCCTCTGTTCCAGCATCTGCATTTCCCGAGGACTTCTCCATTCTAACCACTGTGAAAGCCAAGAAAGGCAGCCAGGCATTCCTGGTCTCCATCTACAACGAGCAGGGCATCCAGCAGATCGGCCTAGAGATGGGCCGCTCTCCGGTCTTCCTCTACGAGGACCACACGGGGAAACCGGGGCCAGAAGATTACCCTCTCTTCAGGGGCATCAACCTGTCAGATGGCAAGTAAGTGGGCACCACTCAAGCAACCCAGTCCTGCTGGAGGGTCTGGACAGGCCACCCAAAGCCCCTGGGCCAGGTAGGGGCCATTCTAGCAGGCTGTGCTTTATAGCAACAGGTGCTGAGACGCCCTCAGGTGTGCACCAGGTGAAGAGAGCACTGAGCTCGGAGTCCTGAGAGCTGGGTCTGGGTCTTTCTTCTCCCTGGGCCTCCATCTCCCTTTGGTACAGTGCATGGGAACACATCAAACGCCAGCCTCTCAGTTCAGGAGGGACACAGAAGATCATGTGGTTGTACCCCGCTTGTTCCACAAAGGATTTAAGGAATCCTGACGGTACAGACACATTAGATGTGGGAAGGAATGGCTAAAAAACAGGCAGACCTTTCCAGGATTCTGTTGGGCGCATACCTAAACCCTGGTAGTCTGACCGTCGCCTCTTCAGTGGCTAACACGTCTGAGGCCAGGTGCAAGGAAGACCTTCAGGATAAAACTCCTGTATTTCTCGCTGAGAGTTTCTTGTAGATCCCTGGGTTCCTTCATTCCGCATTGGGCTCAGCCTTCTCTAGCAGCCTGTCATTTGCTGTTGGGGTTCAGATGGCTCACATAGGGCTATACTCTCGTGCGCCCCTGCCCTTGACCCACTGGCCAGCCCATTCCAGGTTCCAGAGCCTGTGCTTGCGGCTTCCCCATGAGCTTGTGAGTTCAAACAGCTCACCTCGTCTGAGAGACAAGAAATCGGAGGCTTCCAAGGGTGGAGGGCATCTCACGATGGCTCATTGTGTGGCTGGGATCTGATTGTAGGGGCTCAGCTCCGAATGGCAGGAAGTAGGCTTTTTCCTTGTGTCCCCAGTAATTTGCAGCTGAGTCACCTGCACTGGTGTTCCGTAACACGAGCCGCCTTCACCCACCCCGCTGTCTTGTTTCTTTGCAGGTGGCACAGAATTGCGCTCAGCGTCCACAAGAAAAACGTCACTTTGATCCTGGACTGTAAAAAGAAGGCCACGAAATTCCTGGACCGCAGTGACCACCCCATGATCGACACCAATGGCATCATTGTGTTCGGCACCCGGATTCTGGATGAAGATGTCTTTGAGGTGAGTGGGGCGGGCCAGCTGTCCCATGAACTACCTGGGACAGATGTTGGCAAGTGGTCACTGCTGGGATAGAGCCACTGTGGCTGCTGTCGGCAGTCCTGTCTCCTCCATCGGGGTCGGGCTGGCATTCTGATGTTGCCGTGGTTTCTATTGGTCTGAATGAAACCCCTGCTGCTGCCCCAAGGGGTGTTTGTGGCCTGTGGGAATGGAGAGGACATGTGAGGACAGTGGTGGCCACCCTGGTCCAAGGGGCCCAATATTCGTGTCTCCCATGGACCAGCTTGGGAAGGACTCCTGCCTTCTGACATCTGGGGGCCATCGTGGCAAGAGGAGCAGCCACCTTCTGGGTGGATTTGGTGGGCAGAGCTCAGAGAGCGAGCAGACTGGGACCCTGGGCATTGCACCAAGGTGGCACACTCCCTTGCGAGTGGGAGCTTCAGGAAGACCCGTGTGACCACAGTTCATAGATGTTCTAAGTCAGTAGTGCCCATGGTGCCCAGCCTGGAGCTCAGCTCCTCTGAGAAATGCCTCAGGAGCTGAACAGAGCGAGCCCTGGAAACCCTACTTCAGAAAACCCGCTGGGAGGCCTGCATTTCTCTCCTTCATAGACTGGGGTTCAGCATAAGAGAACTCCATCCACTGCCAGACCCCTGCAGGTGCCCAGTGTCCCCAGGTGCCTAGCAGTGCATTGGAGCCCCGGGTACCTGCAGAAGTTCAGATTCCAGCCCCGCCCCCTGGGGTGCTGCAGCAGAGCCCTGGAACCTGCATTCTGGAAGGCACTTTAGTGACCGATGTTCCCTCTGGCTCAGGCGGGGTGATGGCCAGGACCCCTCCACTGGCCTTCCGTCTTTTACATAACCAGCTGTGGAGGAAGATTTGGGGCAAACAAGGGTTTCACAGCTCAGGTATGTTTGGAAACACCAGGCGAAGTCTCTGAGGGACTCTGCTAGCTCTTAGATTCCATGCTGGGGTCCCCAGAGACAGAGGACTGGTCGAGCAGTGTTTCTTCCCGAAGTCCTCGAGAGCCAGCATCAGCTCCCTGATGGGCTCACACGCTCGGCCGTGTTCGAGTGCCCATGTTCAAAGGCCCCGATCTGTGCCCAACCAGCCCCCACATCACCAGTGCTCATGCTGAGGTGAGGTCCCTGGGTCCATGTACTCACTGATCGGGTCCGCCAAGCTGGAAAGGCGCTGACTGGATGGATCCCTTTCTGTTTTAATGGTGGTGACGTCTGTGCAGATTCCAGGGTATGCCAGTGGGGAGGGCTGCGAACCAAAGCGCCCGCCCCTTGACTTTGAGCATCCAGAAGTCTCGTGTTTCTCTAAGTCACAATGGTCTAAGGGCATAGCTGTGACACTGAAGTCCGGGGGGGGGGGTTG